GTTATGAGTCCTGACTTGGGCAATATCACCTCCTCCATTGTCCAGCCTGGGGTGGTGATATTATTGTGAATCTCTGGAATGCCTCACAGACCTCTCTTGGCTCCTCCTCCTTTGGAAGGGGGTTAGTATGTGTATGCAACTCAGTATTGGTGCAAGCATTAGATTTTAAAATAGGGAAGAAAATTCTCAAAGAAGCATAAAAATTCAAGGCCTTAATCCCCCACATTAGGAACTAGTGCATTAAGAGAATGGTGTTGATGCTTTTAATGCTGAAGACAGCCATGCCTGAGGCATACTGACACCCAGGTTCCCTCCTTTAGGCTGGCATGAAAGATCACACTTCTGCTTCTTCCGGTTGACCAGGTGTGGTCAAGTGACTAGCTCTTAATAGTAAGCTGGGGAGGAGAAGACACTTTCTGTCAGAGCTCTAACTGTGAGTATTCAACTACTGAGCTCTGCTGGCAAAAGCATGTATTGAAGGAGAGCTCCTGTCAGCCTTGATGACTTCTCATGATGAGCAGAGTCTCTTATTGCTATGGTCTGAATGTGTCCCCTTAACTCCATATGTTGAAATCTTCATTTCAAGTGTGATGGTTGGGTAGTAGAGCCTTTGGAAGGGGTTAGGTCATGGAGCCAGAGTCATCCTGATGGGATTAATGCTTTCCTGAAGAGATCCCAGAGTGCCTCCTTGTCCTTGCACCGTATAAGTTCACAGTGCGAAGGTGCCATCTATGAATCAGGAAATGGCCACTTGCCAGTGGAAATTCTGCATCTGTCCTGATCTTGGTCTTTTAAGCCCCTATAACTGTGAGAGAAAAACTCCTGTTGTTTATAAGCTACCTAGGTCACAGTATTGTAGTATGACAATCTGAAAGAAGTAAGTTACCTGTTCATATTGGCCATGAGATACAGATGAGATAAAAAGGGAGGCCTGCATTCTATTGAGATCTGGGGTTTGTTGCTGATGTGATAGTAGCAAAATCCAGCCTATTCTGATTGAAATATTGGAATATTATTTTGGTTTCATACAATATATACCCACTATTTTGATAAAAATAAAAATTAATAGGGTATAAAAGTACCTAGTATGAGTGACATTAGCAGGCCATTTTTTTAATTACATGGAATTCTAAGGGCACTGGATTCTGAGCTGTTGCAGGAACTGTCTAAGTAGGGTTATGGGACACATGGGCCCAAACTCATCATTTTTTGAGGGCTATTTTCCTCTCTTTAGATGGTACTATTTGAAGTATGGTGCATTGAGTTAATCTGATGATGGATATAGCTCATTTCCATGGTACTGAATGTGTAGGAACATGACAGAAAATGAGTTCCTGGAATCTAGACCTTTTGGGGGGAGGAGGGGTATTGGGGATCAAACTCAGGACCTTGCACTTTCCAGTCAGTCAGTCACTTATGCTGCTGAGCTATCTCCCCAGTCCCTAATCTTTTTTTTTTTTTATTTTCTGAGTTCTATTTGTGCCTATCCTTTCTTTGCTGAATAGAAAACCACGGATTTTAAAAATTTATTGTCAAATTCTTTATTTGAGCATTTTATTTCATATAGTAAATGATGAACTGTGTTCATGGGTATGGATTTATTCCCGTTTTAAATTTTGTTATCTAAACTGGGCCTAGTTGTGGTCAAATGCTTATAATCCCAGCACTCATTGAAGCTGAAGCAGGAGGATCACAACTTTGAGCCCAACCTTGGCAAATTAGTGACTTTGTGACACCCTGTCTCAAAAATTTAAAAAGTAGAGGATGTGTCTTAGTGGGAAGACTCTAAATTCAATCCCCAGTACAAAAAGAAAAGTAGTCATCTAATGTAAAATGTAGCAGTGAAGAGATTCCAGTATCTCGGTCTGTTTCTATTCATTACCTGTCACTGCTATGTTAATGTCTGATTGGTAAATTCTATCAACCTTGCATATTTTACTTCTGTTACACAGTTGGTCATGCATACTTTGGTTTTTCAGTTTACTCTATGATTGGGGTCTTTATTCAGTATATGCTTTACTCTTCTACAGGTCAAATACCATCAATATCCAGTTTCTCTTTCCTTCAGGATAGCTGCAAGGATTGTATGATTCTTCCCCCTTGAAGTTCGCCAAGGGCATAGCAGTAATTCTAGTCTAACTAATGCCATTTTCATAAAAATATTAATGAAAAAGAATATAGGGCTGGGGATTTAGCTCAGTGTTGCAGCATCTGCCTGGCAAGCATGAGGTCCTGAGTTCAATTCCAGGTATCCCTCCTCCCAAGAAAGAATATATAAAGATCCAGTTGTGTGGCACATCTGTTTCAAAATATATACTCAGTTCCAGCCCAGTGAAATGAACAGTTTTAGAGTTCATATTAATGAGACTTTTAATAGCTCCTCAGATTATTAAGCCTTGATAGACTGTAAGACTGATAGAGCTATTCTACCACCACACACTAGATACTCAATACATGTTTACTGAATAGATGAATGAAGGATTGGGTGAATGAATGAATGACCATAATTTTAATACAATATCTTGTTTAAATGAATTTTATTTCTTCTCCAAACTCCTTTAATACTTTGAAATTTTAAGAAATCACTCTTAAATGAAAAAAAATGCTTTCTCAGTGAAAGTAGCAATAATATTTTGGATTAGCATAGAATCTAAAAGGAAAGGCAACTGAGCCTGCATTCTGTTTCTACACCCAGTAAAAAAAAAAAAAGATAGTCCAGTGGTACATGCATCTTGGATTCAAATATAACTTGCCATTTTCTTCTTTATGCTTTGGTTTAGTGACTTAAGGATATTACAGACTGAATATTTGTGTCCCTCTTAACTTCACCTGTTGAAGCCCAAATCCCCAATGTGATGGTATTTTGGAGTGGGCTGTCATGGCTTGGGCTATTTGCAAGGGGAACAATATAATACAGGACACATTTTATAATGTGTCATTTATAATAAATCACCCAAAGAATCATATACAAAAAGTGCAGCAAATCTGTTCACACACTAAAGAGAAGGAATCCAGTTTAGGGCCTGGAACGTAATATCCTGCATGAGTCCAGCTGAAAACCTAGAGCTCATAACAATGCCTCCCACAAATCCAACTGGAGGCCTAGAGCCCATGACAATGTCTCATGCAGGCCTTTTTCAGAGATCTGTGCTGAGAAGGCCGAAAGGTCAGTGATGGAATCTAGAAAATCTATGAACAGGATGAAGAATCTGTGCTAGCAGGCTGAGGGATCTGAACTGGAGCCAGAAAGCAACACTTACGGTAAGAACCAGAGCTCCCCAAAAAGCACTACAGCCATCCTTAGCAATAGTGAGGTCCTGAGTTCCTCCCATGATGAGGAAAACCAAATCCCATCAGGAAAGCTAGTGTAACAAGTTTCTCCAGGAGACTGAGATGTGCATCATCTTCTCTTCCACAGGAAGTAATGCTCAAAGTGAGGACCAGAGTTCTACCAAAGTGAACCTCAGCCATCCTCAGCTGAGGTCCCGAACTCCTCCTCTGATGAGAACAGCCAAGTTCACCAGGAAAGCCAGCATGACAAGGTCCTCCAGCATAATAGCCCAATAAAAGCAATGGCTTCCAACAGCTCCAACAGCTTCTCCCAACAGATTCCCTGTCAGTTTCTCAACAGCTTCTCTAGTCCTGCCTCTTATGCTGCTGGCAGCAGTCCTCAGTGGGCCTCCCACACCCAGCACCATGCTAGTTCAGCTCAGCTGAGTGTAACAAGTTGGCTATCAGTTGGCAATCCACCACATGGACCTTTGAGAAGTGATGGTTTAGATGAAGTCATGAGGCTGGAGCCCCACAATTAAATGAGTGGCTTCGAAGTAAAGGATGAGACTACAGAGTTTATCTCTGCCAACTGAGGATACATTCTAATGGAGGCTGTCTGATATCCAAGAAGACCCTCAATAAGATCTGAGCTGGTCTCAATCTTGATTTTGTACTTCCTAACTTTCTAAAACTGTGAGAAAGAAATGTGTGCTCTATGAGCCGTCCAGCCTATGGTATTTTGTAATAGCAGCTTCAAAGTAGGTCAGATGCCAAATTCCTATCTTCTCAACTTCTATTAGAAATATAATAGTATTTGCATATTAGTGACTTTCTCCTGCTTCCACCAACCAGCATGATTCTGCAGCCTCTTTAGGTGGAGAGAGGACCATGTCTATCCAATGACCAGGCTGTCTCATCAGTAGATTACTAACAGAGGTAGTAGTGATTTACTCCAGTTCCATTACTATTGCAGAGCATGATTTGCTGTGAGGCTCCAACCTTGGTTTTTATAAAATATGAATAAATGTAAACTTTCATTATACCCTAAGAATTTCTAATTTGAAAAAATAGGGAGTTCAGTAATTCAGATAAAGGTTATTTTTTAAAAAAGCTCTAGATCATATTAAATATCACCATGAATTTTGGTTCACCATTTTTTTAGTTGATTTGCTTTTTTAAAAAGTCTTGGTAAATATGTTTAACAAATTGTCATTATTTGTATCATCCTGTAAAGGTAAATACATTTTCCTAGAAACGTGGCACTTTTCACTGGCAAACAGTTAAAGAAATAAATTATTTTGGCACCATTTGAGAAGATGACGTGGCATTTTGGAGTCCCATACCAAAACGCTGGCTATTCAACAGCAATCTGTTATGTGCAATGCCAAATGAAACTTCTGTCATAATTCACTATATAAGGTTTTTAGTTTTTACATCATTTGATAAATCTATCTCATTTACTAGTAGAGTCACAAATCATGCCTTAGGGTTGTCATGGGAAGTCAATAAAATATCACCTACCTCCAGCTGACCTCTATCCAGAAATGCTTTTTTTTTTCACTGTTCACATTTTATCCGTCAAATAATAGTTTCTTTAAAAAGCAAATATAAATGCTATTGTGGGGAGAAGCTACTGGCCTAGGACAAGTTCTAGCATTTAGTTTCCTGACAGATCTTAATTTGGATATTAGCAAAAGTCAATAAAACTTGTTCATGCAGAACCTTACCTGGTTTTCACCACATCGAGGGGGTGCATCAGGCAAATTTCTACCAGACCTGAAAGATTATAAAGAGAAGTCCAATAAACATGTATGTATACATTGGTTCTTATTTCCTTGACCTACTGATTTCTTAAAGGTGCATATTCAAATAAAGAATTCAGGATTGTGGCCTTGATAGTGAATAGAGGTAAGCTAGTCACAAAAGACAAAAGCATAATATAATTTTATTTCAGTGAGTGAGTACTTCCTTGCAAGTGCCTTGGAAAGGATCTGGGACTATCAGGGAAAGAAAAAAGAATCAGATAATATCCCAATCAACTAATCCAGAATTACTATATTCCAACCTAACCCAATAGATTTGTTTATGTAGAAAGGAGGGAAAAAAAAGCAAGGAAATAAAGGAGAAAAGGGCTTTGATGTTTTCTCTACTGCATATGTACAAGCCTTAGTTCTAGTATTTATAACATAAAGATAATTATCATTCTTATTTTAAAAGTAGATCTGAAAAAAAACAAAAAATAAAAAAAATAAGAGTAGATCTGAAAACCCAATACATCAATAGCTTAAAACAAAACATTTTACTAAGTGCTGAGTGTCATACATTGTTCTAAGCATTACTTAGATTATTTCACAAGCAACTTTCTATATGATAGGATATGCTATTACTAATTTATAGATTAAATAATCAAGGCTCATGAAGGCAAATAGCATTGCTAAGATGTCATGTCTAGAAAGTAGTCTTAATTCTCATAAACACATGATGATAATCAATACACACCAAAAGAATGTTCACAGCTTTTTGCAATTCAGTTGTAAAGCCCTCTCTACTATTGTCTGCCTGTGCAAAGTATTCATTTGCAAGCCATTTACATGTGACAGTAGCAGTAGTATAAGTGATTTTAAGTACTAACAGTTGTGAAAATAATTATAGTACTACTTATAGCAGTATAGTAATAATGATCACATTTAATTACCTATACTATAGTCATTGAACATACATTGCCACTGGCATGCAAAACTACTAGAAAGATGATTATCATCTTAATTTTAAAAATAAGCAAATTTAATATCCAATACCCCAAACTTAACAGAGACCTTAACACCCCCTTATCCCAAAAACATAGGTCAACCAGACAAAAAATTAGCAAAGAAGTAGCAGAACTGAACCAGAGCTTGGAACAAATGGGCATAGTGGACATACAGAGTGTTCCACCCAACCACAGCTGATAAACATTTTTTTCAACTGCACATGGGTCATTTTCTAGAATAGAACACATACTAGTCCATAGGTCATGCTGAAGTATATGAAAGAAAACAGAAATTATCCCATGCATATTATCTGACCAGAGTGCAATGAAACTGGAAATAAATGACAAAAGAAACCAGAAAAATGCCATAACTACATGAAAATTAAACAAAACCCTACTCAGCAACCAATGAGTCACCAGTAAAATTAAACAAGAAATTCAACAATACTACAATTCAGTGAAAATTAAAGCAACACTAATCGGAATTTATGGGATGTGATGAAAGAAGTTCTAAGCAGGAAATTTAGAGCTGTGAACTCACACATTGGGAAAACAGAATGGGAACAAATAAACACCCTAATAGTGCACTTCCAACATCAAGAAAAGGAAGAGCAAACCAAAACCAAAGCCCAAAGATCAGAAGAAATCATAAAGATTAGAGCAGAAATTAATTCAATCAAGATGAAGAAAACAGTGCAAAGAATTAACAAATCAAAAAGCTGGTTCTTTGAAAGATTAAATAAAATCTATAAGTCCCTACTTAACCTCATGAAAAAGAAGACAGAAAAAAATCAAATGCAAGCAATAAAGAATGAAAAGGGTGTAATTACCACAGTGGAAAAATCAGAAGATTATCAATAGCTATATAGAGAATCTTTACTCTCACACTATACAAGATACAGATGAAATGGAAAGATTCCTAGAAAGGTACAAATTACCAAAAGTGAATCAAGAAGCTATAACAACTCTCAATAACCCAATAACAGCCAATGAAATATGAAAAGTAATAAAAAGCCTGCCGACAAAGAAAAGTTCAGATCCTGATGGATTCACAGCTGAATTCCACAAGAAATTTACAGAGGATATAATTCTTACACTCCTCAAACTCTTCAGTGAAATAGAGAAGGAAGCAATCCTCCCAAGATCATTCCTGGAGGAAATTATCATACTGATACCAAAACCAGGGAAAGATGCAACTAAAAAAGAGAACTACAGGCCAATCTCTTTCATGAACATTGATGCAAAAATCCTCAATAAAATCCTAGCAAATAGAATACAGCAAATCTTCAAGAAGATCATACAACATGACCAGGTACGATGGATCCCAGGGATGCAAGGATGGTTCAATTTTCACAAATCTATAAATGTAATACACTATATCAATAGAGCAAAAACTAAAAATCACATGATCATCACAATTGATGCACAAAAGGCTTTTGACAAAGTCCAACATTCATTCATGTTCAAAGTCCTAAAGAAAATTGGAACAGATGCTTTCTACTTCATCTGATAGAAGCCATTTATGACAACCCCATGGATAACATAATTCTAAATGGGGAAAAACTAAAATTTTTTACTCTTAGATTTGGTACAAGACAAGGATGTCCACTATCACCACTCCTATACAAGATAGTTCTGGAATCATTACCTAGAGCCATTAGGCAAAAGAGAGAAATAAAAGGAATAAGAATAGGTAAAGAAGAAGTTAAATTATCATTATTTTCAGATGATATGATACTTTATGTGGAAGACCCAAAAATCTCCACCAAGAAGCTACTAGAGTTAATACACAAATTCAGTAGCATACAGGATATGAAGTCAATACCTAAAAGTTAATATCATTCCTCTACACAGATAATAAACACACTGAGAGGGAAATTACAGAAACAATAACTTTTACAATATCACTGAGGAAAATGAAATACCTTGGATTTAATCTAACTAGAGAAGTCAAAGATCTTTTCAAGGAAAATTATAGTAGTCTGAAAAAAAGAGATCATAGAATATTTCAGAAAATGGAAAGATATCCCATGCTCCTTGATAGGAAGAACCAACATAGTGAAGATGGCCATACTCCCAAAATTGCTGTACAGATTTAATGCAATCCCTATCAGACTACCACCAACATATCTCACAGACATAGAGAAATCATTCCTAAAATTTATCTTGAACCGGTAAAGACCTAGAATAGCAAAGGCAATCCTGGACAACAAAGACAAGGCAGGAGGCATTACAAATCCTGACTTGAAATTATACTATAAGGTTACTGTGATAAAATCAGCATGGTACTGGCAAAGAAACAGACCTGAGGATCAGTAGAATAGATTAGAAGATTCAGAAGCCTCTATGAATACACTCAGCTACCTTATCTTCAACGAAGGGGCCAAACATGCTTGCTGAAAGAAAGATAGCCTCTTTAACAAATGGTGCTGGAAAAACTGGCTCTCTACATGCCAAAAACTAAAACTTGACCCAGTCTATCACCATGCACTAAGCTAAAGTTAAAATGGATTAGATTTCTAAACATTAAAACAGAAACACTAAATCTCCTGGAATAGAAAGTAGGAGGAACTCTTGAAGACATAGGGGTAGGCCAAGAGTTCATGAACAAAAATCAAATTGCACGATTAACACTTGAAAGAATTAACAACTGGGACCTCCTCTTACTGAGAACATTTTGCATGTCAAATGAAATTACCAACAAAGTGAAAAGACAGCCCATAAATGTCAAAAAAATCTTGACTAATAAGCACTCAGACAAAGATGTTCTCTCTAGAATTTATAAAGAACTAAAAATCATTAGGGCCCCTAAATTTAAAGACCCAGTCCAGAAATGGGCATCTGAGATGAACACACACTTCTCAGAGGATGAAACTAAAGAAGTGAATAAATATATGAAAAAATGCTCCACATCACTAGCCATCCATGAAATGCAAATTAAAATAACACTGAGGTATCATCTCACCCCAGAAAGAATAGCTATCATAAAGAATTCAAGCAACAACAAATATTGGAGAGGCTGTGGGGAAAAAGGAACCCTTCTGCATTGCTGGTGGGAATATAAACTGGTGCAAGCATTTTGGAAATTCTGTGGAGTCTCTTTAAAAAACTAGGACTGGAAATCCCATTCAAGTCAGCTATCCCCCTACTGGGCATTTTCCCGGAGAAACTGAAAACATCATATCATAGTGATATATGTGTACCTATGTTTATAGCAGCACAACTTGTGATAGCCAAATCTTGGAAACAACCAAGATGCCTGTAAACCAAGGAATAGATGAAAAAGATGTGATATTTTTATACAATGGAGTATTTCTGAGCTATAAAGAATGATGAAGTCTTTATATTGAAGTGGATGCCACTTGAAGATATACTCATAAGTGAAGTAAACAAGACACATATGTGTAAATATCATATAGTCTGTCTAGTATAAGAACTCCAAAGAAGAAATATAAAGAGAAAAGTATAACACAATTAAGAGGAAAGTGAGAACTTGAGGATTAGACAATGAAGAGGGAGCAAGGAAAAAAGCTAGGGGACATGACAAGGGTAAAGCCATACATTTATATGTACAAGATGGTTGAGGCAATGATCCTCAGAATCTTCAGCAGGTTTTCTAAACTAGCAGTTAATTGGTAGGATTCTCACTCTGACTAACAATATATGCTGATACCTGTGAACTAAGCAACTGCACTGAAGCTAGCAATATGTAATAGTAGGGTCATGCTTGGAGTGCCTGTCATTCTGGTCTTCTGAATACATGCTGCTTGTCATGACATGACAGTTACTGCCATGCTGTCTCTCAGGTAGGTGCTTGTTTAAAAAGGAAGGGGGTGGTGAATGAAGGCAGGAGACAGGAAAAGGGGTGTTGCAGAACTGTCCTGGTAAATTTTTGTATATATGATAGATTTCTAAACTTTTGTGTAACAATATGTAATGTTTAATTCTATCTTTTAAAATATATTTTCATTTTTTAATTTTTTTCTTCATATTCTATAGAAACTTAAATTTTAAAATATCAATACTT